CTGACTCCTTGGCAGCTTTTGGTCTTCACTCGTGATGTAACCACACCAAATTAATTTATGAATAGACAATTTTACCTCACTGAGTAAGTTTGGTCTCTGTTCTTATTTTTAATTAAGACCTTAGATGAGTGCGAAAATTAATCAGAATCAAATGTCCATATTCTACCAACGTTTCTGTTCATTCACATTTGTTTCAATAACTTACAAGCTTTTTACTGTTGCATATTGCATACTTTAAAAGCATGCGGATCTGAGCAGTTAGTAGATGAATGCTGATAGATGACTAGTAACTTTCTGATAAAAATATACGCAGGAATATAGATGTCACTGTGTTTATATACACATTTATTTCTAGGGAGTTACCAGTGTTGATGAAGGTTGCTGGCTTATTTTAAAAAAAAAGACAAAAATAACAACAATTTCTGCTGCTATAAATGTGTATGATAGAGGCTAGCTTCACTGATAGAAATAAATGAAAGGGGAATATAACATCAAAAAGAAGCAACAACCAAAGAGTTGAAGTTGACAAAGAGTATGAAATAATGAAATTGTACCTCTGTGATTCAGAATTTTCTAACCTCATTGAGTTGAAAATTATTGTAGTCAGTATATAATCTTGTGAAAGACCTAAAAGGGCATACTGTTTAATCTAAGAAAGAATCAAGTTTGTTTATAAAATCAGTTTGAAATGTAAAAGTAGGACTTGGAGACCAAAAATGGAAAGCTTAACGAATTTTAAATGATTGAGGATATACCCATCGAAATGCGAACAGCATGGTGTGTGTGGAATTTTGATTGTGTTGTTTTTGTTGATAAATCTACTCTCCTCTGGTTGAAAACTGTATGAAAAAGTTGTGTATTTTAGGCTGTATCAGAGACACCAAGAGTCCATCAATTCTGAGTGTTCTTGCTGGAGGAGAGACTGTCATTCTTTCTGAATGCCTCTTCATGCACAGCCTAACAGCAGAGGCAACGGTCTACAACATCTTCACCTCTAGCAATAGACTAAAGTATAACAGCTTTTAATAGAGGCATTCTCAGGACCACGAAAACAGATTTCTAACCTGTGCTATACCAAAAGCGTAAGGAATGGCTCAGGACTAGTAGTCAGGATAGATTATAGTAGCAATGAGAGCAGATGAAAGAGTTAGCAGGAAAGAAATCAGGAATAGCATGTACAGTTTTAATCTAGTGTCTATAGTGACAAATTATTTTTAAGTTTTTATTTCTTGCCACTTGTATGTTCCCTGCTTCTGCTGCTTGTTTTTTTGGTTTTGGGGAGTTCAACTCTGGATGAAAAGTGTGCTGTTGTAAGGCTGTGCCTTTTCAGCTTTCTATTCTTGATCAAAATCATTTAAAAAAAAAAAGGAAGTTTCCATGTATTCAGTTAAGTAGTTCCCATGAATTATACTGCAGTTTTATATAGTTTTATATAAGTTTGAAATACTTTTATATACATTTTTCATAATCAAGAAAATATCTACCTTTCTTCTCAGTTGCATTTTAAGATGCAGTGTCAAAACTGATAAATTCTGCGAAGTATTTTTTTTCTTTAAAATTTGGTGTGTTTTAGCATTAAAATATAAATGTACTCTATATGCTTAAAAAAAGGACTCTGTTTTGACCCCTAGGCAAATGTTTTTCCACTGTCTCGTTTAATTGAAGGCCTCAATTCTAGCTCAGCAGGAAATAATGTGAAGAGGAGACTCTCTACTGTTCGGCGCTACTTTACATAGATTAGTCGATAACACTGATGTTATAAAAACAAAATCATAGAATCACAGCATCATTGACTTTGGATTGAACTTCTAGAGATCATCTAGTCCAACCCCCCACATACTATGCAAGGTCCACTAAAGTAGATTTCTCAGGTCATGGTTGGAATGTCTCCAGGGCTGGAGGTAGCACAGCCTGTCCTGGTGTATGAGCACACTTTAAGTGGCATTTCCTGTATTCGCTTCTTTCTGCCATTGCATGTTACCAGTGAGGAGAATCTGGCTCCGTCTTCTTTACTCCTTGCCACTGAGCAGGCATTTGTATGGATGATGTCCTCTGCTGAGCCTTTTCTTCTCAAGGACGAATAGCTCTGTCAGCCTCTGTTCATGACATATAGTTCAGGCCCTGGATTATGTTAGTGATGCTTTGACTGGACTCTCTCCAATATGTCCATGTCTCCCTTCTACTGGAAGCCCAGAACTGAACCCAGCAATCCATGTATCTTACTAGTGCTGAGCAGAGGGAAGGCTCACCTGTCTTTACCTGCTGGCAATGTTTTTCTTGATGGACTCCAATTTGCTGCTGGCTTTCCTAGGCGCAAAGGCTTTCTGCTGGCTCATTTTCAACTTGTTTTTTCACCAGAATCCTCAGGTCCTGTTCTCCAAAGCTGTTTTTCAGGCTGTCAGTTCCCAAAGTACCCTAGCACATGGTGTTATTCCTCCCTGCGTGCAGAAAGTTTGTTTATTCTTTTCTATTCTTTGTGGCCCATTTCTCCAGTCAGTTGAGGTTCCTCTGTGTGGCAGTGCAGCCATCTTCTGCATCAGCCAACCCTCTCAGTTCTGTATTGCCTACTGTCTTGCTGAGATTGTTCTCTGTCCTGTTATCTAGGTCACTAACAGAGGTGTTGAGCAGTACTGGCCACTGGGGCACTCTACTAGTGCCTGGCCTCCAGCTGGACTTTGTGCTGCCTGTCATAGCCCTTTGAGCCTGACACTTCAACCAGTTTTCTGTCCACCTCACTATCTGCTTATCTAGCTTGTACTTCATCTGTGTGTCTGTGAGGCTTTTACGAGAGGCTGTTTTGAAAGCTGTGCTAACATCAAGGTAAACAACATCTGCTGCTCTCCCTTCATCCACTAAGTTAGTCATTTCATCACAGAGGTTATCATTGCTTAAGCATGATTTCCCTCATGCTGACTACTCTGGATCATCTTCTTGACTTTAACATGTTCACAAATAGTTTCCAGGATTAATTTGAGTAATTGAGGAGGATCTGTCTAGCCTGTAGTTTTCTCTTTTCTGGCCTCCTTGGAAGATGGCACTTGTTTTCATTCAGTATTCAGGTATGTCTTCTGATCATCAGGATCCTTCAAACCTGGGCAACACTGCCCGCAGCAAAGTGGTTAGAACCAGGTATTCTCTAAGGTTCTTTCTGATCCAAACCATTCTGTGATCCTGTGAATCTATAATCTGTCTCATTTATCCTTCTATCTATTGGAACCTGTGAAAATGTTTTTTTTAATATTTAAATATATATAAAAGGATTTTTTGTCAACAAAACTGAGTCAGGAGAATCAATTTCTTTGCAACTACTGATTTTTTTTTTTATTTTTTATTTTTTAATTATTGCTAGGGGATACTTATTAATCATCCACTAGAATAGTTTGATTTCATTTTGTATTTTTTACCCAGGATTAGTGAAGCATTAATTGTTATCTGTCACAGACATCTTTCCAATTACTCTTTCAAGTACATTTCTTCTCTTTGGAGCACTATCAGGAGGGCAGCTTTGTTTCTGTGTAACTTCTAACAGTAGGTGTGGTCATTTTTCTAACAGGGCCAGCAGTCACATCTCAGATTGGATCTGTGAAGTTTTTCAGAAATACTTGTTTATTTTCTCTTGAAATAAATACATAAAGCATAAATACAGGTTTTGTTATGTAGTCCAGGGTTGTTGTAATCATTTACCAAAGCCGCATCACTGCTTTTGATTATAATAATACAGTCATCTAATTATCCAACTCAAGGTTTTCATTTTAGTCCATCATTTAAAATATCTATAATAAATGTATCTCGTGAACTTTGAATATCTAAAATCTTAGAAAACATCACTTTCAGGGAAGACTTAAGTCAACCTGTTATAATTGCGTCTGGAGATTCCTGTATTTGTCTACTGTCTATAGGGGGACTCTAGACAGCTAGTTAAACCAAAAACTAACTTAAAGGTGCTTAAACTTAGGTGAGAGGCATCTATTAAGCTGTTCCAGTATCTTAAGGGTGATTGTTATCACTTTCATGTTTCCCAGGCTTCTATTTTTCTCTGAAGATTTATTTAAATTTTGAGTTGTTAACTAATTTACAAGTGAAAGTACATTTTGCACTTGCAATTATGTTTTTTGGAATTATTTGTAACACATCTAAAACTGCTTTAAAAGCAGGCTTCCTGCATATACTTGCAGTGAAATCAAAATGGCAGTACAGTGATTTATTTTGCAATTGTAAGATTTTAAAATCGTCACTTTACCTTGTTAGGAATTTTGAATCTGATGAGCTAAAGAAAATAATCAGTGATTGTAACCATAAACAGCTCTGTGCTGGAAGTTATATTAAGCAAATGTTATTGCCAGTATAAACCCTGATGAAAACTCCATAACGTGCTGCATAATGTGCATTAGAATGATTGAAGTCAAAATTAAATTTTTATAACTTCAGTGTTTTTAGTTGTTTTTAAATGTGGAAAAATTAGGTTCCCACATTCAAGTCTGGCTGCATAAAGGGAAGACTTAATTTTCTAAATTCCCAAGGATCACTTGCTTTCATGGCCACTTATTTTTTACGTTTTTCATACAAGCAAGCACTGATCCTCCTCATGTTGTTGTTGTTGTTGTTGTTGTTGTTGTTGTTGTTGTTGTTGTTG